GGTGTCTCTGCCTTCCGAGTGAGAAGAGCACTACCTCAGGGTACTCAGCGCTGATGGAGGAGGCTAGAGATGTGTAACCCTGGGCATTCTGCCCGGCTCACAGGCACTGGTAACTGGTAAAGTCATTTGCCCTCTCTTCCCCTCCACACCCCCACAGGTGGGTCATGACTTTCAATATTTATTTATTGAAAGATCATATGACTGTAATATGAAAATAATGTGTTAAAAATCCAAACACTAGCAAGGCAAAGGCACCTGCCATCAAGCTTGACTACCTAAGTTTAGGATCCAGGAGCAACACCGTAGGAGGAGAGAGCATGCCATGGTACTGGAGAACACACACACACACACACACACACACACACACACACACACACACACTAAATGAATCAGTTAAAATGGGAACAATAAAATTAATGAAAACTAAATAAAGTCAGTTAAAAGTCAAACAATAATGATAAAATTCCATTAACAATGATAAAATGCTCTCCCTCCACATATACTCAACATCATAACTGGTAAATGTAGACCTGATCAAACTATCTAGTCAGTGGCCACCCAGTTGGAAGCTGCATCTAACTTTCTCCCAAGATTGGGGGGTGCTACATCCTCCAGGGTGGAAGGGACTTGAGGCAAGGAACAGGCATTTGGAAACTCGAGAGCCCCTGCCAGTGTCCTTTGAGGAACAGTGGATGCTTTCACTCAGAGCTGTTGCTGACGTATGGTCATGAGAGGGAAGCGGCACCAGGGGCTACTCTTCATCTTTAGGGAACAAATTCTCCCCATGCCGCATCTCTCTGCCCCCATGTCACTTGATGTCAGAGCCCCAACCCACAAATACATACCAGAGGAAACGCAGCAGACATAAAGACACACACATACATTTGTGCACACACACACACATGTTCACACACACGTATATGCACACTCACAATACACTTACACACTCCCATATATAATCAGTAGTCAACAAGTTTTATCTATTCTAGGGAAAAAAAATGAGGAGGGAGCCTCAATTTTTGTTCTTCCCCACATTGCCTATGGCCCCAGAAAGCTCTTTGTGGGCCAGGAGCAGGCAAGACATTGGGGTGGGTGCTCCTGGGGGGAAATCTAGTGGGTACTTCTTCCTTGATGCAGGAATATATTTCTCTAGGATCAATGAATTACAGCTGTCTGAGTATCACATGGCCCACCTACTTGAAATCCTGGGACCACATTTCCTTTATTGGGAAATGTGACAGGTCTATTTTTAGACAAGGACCCTTCTTCCCTTTCATCTCTAGAGACCAGAAGTCATTTCCAGCAAGGCCTAGCAAAAGCCTTTTAGTCCAACCTTCATCTGGGAGATTAGCGTTCTGAGACACAGAGAAGTTAGGCTAGCTGTAAATCACACGGCCGAGTCCAGGCTCCCATTCCAGACTCCTTGGCCCTCAAGCCTCCTCCCAGGTGCTCTACCCCAAGGAGAGCACAGAGTGGTTCTCTGCCTGAGCTCAGGGCTAGACAGCTCTGTCCAATCCCATCGTTACTTCCAAGATCCCAAGCACAGCAGCGAACTTTCTGCCCTCTCTTTCCTCATCTGTGCACTGGAGATTTTGAACAAGCAACCCAAGCATGGCGGTAAGGACTGAGCGTGCCCGGCCTGACACACATTTGCACTATTCCTATATCTTGCTGCTCCTGTTTCACACCCAGAATTGAGTGCATCTGCAACAGCTGTGCCAGCACGGTCTCCCAAATATAGGAGAGAAAGGGCTATCATCATCAAATCCATTCACCACAAAGAGAGTCCAGGCCCCCTTGAGACAATAGAAGAGGCACAAAATCAGTTTTCCTAGGTCTTATTCTCTGTTTCCATGTAGTGCTGGGAATGAACCACTAGGCTAGCCAGCCCTGAGATCTGAGTTTTGTAAGTCAGCATATTTTTGGATCGAGAAGCCCTAACTATCTATCCCAAACCTCCTTAGGTATGAAGCAGTGAAGTTACCTCTTCCTCTTGGCTAGAGAGCAGAACCACATGTCCTGGCACACATTCTTAGAGACTGGAACCAGCAGAGTGCCGGGTACATCAGAGAGGCAGGATGCGGTTTTGTTGACTGAATTAAACAAGTGAAGATGCGCACGGCAATGGGAAAGCCTGAAGCAGGTGTCCTGCTGCAAAATGCATGGGGTGGCAGGCCAGGCTCCAGCAGCAGCGAGCAAGCACTCCATCACCATCTTAGCCAGCTCTGTGGGGAAGAAGCCTTTGACAAGGCCAATAGCTGAGCCTCAGTCTGGCCCATGAGATCCAATCCAGGGCTCAGAAGATACCTGAAGTCCGTGTGCTCCTCCTCCAATGGAAACAGTTTCAATAACAAATGATGTGGGCCAGGGGAGGTGAACAGGACAGGGAGATGGCTCATCTGTCTTCTTAATTGTCAACTCTGCCCCTAATAAGATTTTTCTCCCTGTTCCACCTTAGGCTGATGCTGAACTAAGACAAACCAAGATATCCATCTTGTAGTCATGAACAGTGGCCTTCACAAAATGCCAGGGATGAAATGAGGCTGCTGTGTGGCTCGGAGAGGCTGAGTACCAATACCAGGCGGAGCCTTAACCCATTATAGTCAGTAGCTTGAAATCTTTGCTCTTAACTAGCTGTGGGAGCTCAGCAGTTACTGCACCTCTGTTTTCTGGAAAATTACAGCCCAAAGTTTGGGAAATGAGGTGAACCATGTGAGAACAATATGCATGACACTGTAAAGTTATATGCACGGGAGAAGAGCATCCATAATTTTCACCATATTCTCAAAGATAAAGGCATGTTACCCCTCCCCATTAAAAAGCTAAGAAATACTGAATGATTTCCATTCAAAAACAATCTGTTGAGCACTTCCTATGTGTCCTTGCTCTGTACCAGGCACTTGAGACTCAAATATGATAGGAGAGTGCTGCTTATGGGGTACTCAGCGCCACTGATGCTCAGTACTACAGGAACATGTCCCAAGGCCATTGGAAACGAAGAAAAGGCAGCATTTAACTCTATGTTAAACTTCTATGGAGAAGTTTAAGCTTGGTGTTGAAGTTGACGGCCATACATGCATTCACTGGGTAAGTAAGTAGAGAGTATTTTAGAGAGGACGCCAGGGCAAAGGCAACGTGTGGTCTAGGAACTGCCTCAGTTGTAATCTGGAGTGGAACACAGCACTTGCAAAAGACTGTGGCAGTGGTAGAAGGCAGAAATGAGGCTCGAGAGGTTGGCAGGGGGCAGGGCAGGTAATGTCATGAGGGCACCCACACACACACATACACATAAAACCCTCCCCCTGCAACATGGGTCTAATTGCACAGGACTGGATGAGCCACCACTTCCAGCATATTTTTCCTTGAGTGCTGAGCAAAGGCTTTTGCCAGCTGTGAGTTGAGCGTAGCAGCAGGAAACAGCATGGGAAAGAACCGTTACTCCTGACCCCACGGGTTTTTAAACAAAGGTGTAGGTAGAAAGCTCCTGTCAGACTGTTGTTTTTCCCTGTAAACTTGACCTAGCCAGGGACTTCTAATAGACCAACATCATGGCTGAGAAAGGAAGACACGGATTAGCCCAGTCAGTGGAATGCAGGGCTAAGGGGCATGTCCATGGGGTCCTTGGTCCTCACCCAGCAAACAAAGGCTTCCAGTTCCTGTACAGAACTCTGCTGCTGAGCAGGGTCCTCTCACAGGCTGCTTCTGTCTGAAAGTCTTTCTACCCCCTAACCAGTCAGCCTTCAGTCTTCAGACTGACACTCAACCCATCACCAGTTCTCAGGGCACCCAAGTTTAGAATCAAAGAACCCAGCTATGCAAAATTCTATGCCCAATCGATGTGATTCACTGCCATCATGGTCACTGGACCGCAAGCTCCTTGAGACTAGTGTACAGTTCTGTTTACTTTTGTATCTGAAAACCTTGCCCGATGCCTGGTTCTGAACTTTTGTGCTTTTGATCTGGACCTTGCATCATTCCCACAACTCATTGTCCCTGGGACACATTATGGCATTATGGCGCCCTGAGGTAGGAGGCTGTACTTGAAGGCAATGTCAGAGTGGACTTCTGCTTCCGTGGGTGGGTAGCCTCATGCTTTTCTATGCCCAGTCGTGAGAGGCTAAGGAACCCTATTCGGTTTACTCAGGTAAAAAAATCTTTTGGGATTGCACTTTAAACTAGAGATGCCTTCTCTCCTGGCTGCAGGAGATCCTGCCACGGCCCTCTTCGGTGTGCAGGACTTTGCACAGCCTCAGAGGTCATCCTTGAAATGGAACAGCCTCTCTCGACTGGAAAATGCCCATCTTCATTCTACAAGTCTGCTTCCCAGGGTGGTTGGGAAGTAGTAGACTGTGGATTTCTGCAGCCCAGGCTAGTGCATGAGGCGAGAGTAGGTTCTGGCCAGGTGTAGAACACGTGGACTTTCCAGCTCCCGTCTGTAATTGGCCAGTCTGCAGCGACAAAGTACTAGGGTCAAAGATTTGACCTTAAAGGAAATGGGAAGGGGAGGTGAGCTAACCAGGGGGCACGCGGACTTGACAAACTATCCTCAGCCAGCACCTAGCACACGGATCCAGGGCCGCCCTCCTCCCTCTGCCCAAGGTCGCATCCCATCGTAGCTCTAGAAACTTCAGCCAGGAGCAGAGAGGTGCGGACTGGGAACCAGACGCGATGTTTTGCAAAAGGAAAGAGACTCGGGGTTTTGCAGGTAGTCTCGCAAGCTGCATCCAGGTCCGCAGCGTCCCTCTGAGGACAGCTGCGAGGGTCTGCACCATCTGAGTCTCAAGGACGACGCGGTCCCCCTTTTACCGTCGCCCCAGTCCCCAGAGCTGAAAAGCGAGAGCGGCTCCCCTCCAGCACAATCACCGACCCTCCGGACGCCCGGCTCAGGCTGCCGCAGCCTCTGTGGGGACGCGGCGCTAGCAGGGGTCGCAGAGGGCGACCGGCGCAGCCTGGGTCGCGCAGGGCGGGTGCCTGGGGCCAGAGGGCGCCAGGCCGCTTACCTTGGAGAGCCGCTAGGTTCTGGCTGGAAGCGATCACCGGGCCGGAGCAGCGCGGGCGCCCACCCGGCTTCGGGGTGCACGCAGCTGCGGCTGCACGGTCTTCTGTAGCACGATCCTCCCTCCTCTGCACCGTCCGCGTCCTGGCACGCACCGCGCGCCGCCGCACCCTGCCGTCCGGGGCGCGCACACCCTCCGGTCGCCCTCTGGCCGGCGGGCTGGGCCTGGAGCCGGGGAGCACTCCCTGCGGGCACACCCACCGCGCCAGCTGCGGGACTGGGAGCGCGGGAGCCCGATCCCCGCTGCCGCCACCCGAGTCCCCGCCTTCCTGACGCGGCGCGGGCTTTAGTGTGTGGGAAGGGGCAGAACTGCGACACCGAGGGGAGGGTCTTAGCCTTGGACAGAGTTAAGGAGAAAAACTTTTTGAAAAGAAACCAGAAAAAGTCCTAGCCTGTATAAGGCGATTTTCAGATTTCCCCAGGACCCTGTGAGATTCTCTAAGTTTGTCTAGACTCTGGAGTCTAGACGTCTCTGTCCCCACGGTGATGGAGAATCAGAATCAGACAGGGTAATAATGTCAAGTCAGGACTCGAACCAAGGCCTGACAACTGAGATTCTGTGAGCAGTGAGGTCCTAGCAGGGGTGTGAGATTGTGAGGGTCATCCATGACGGGGAACTTAGATGTTCCCTAAGCCGTTTTCTTTTCAATTTCCTTCCAAATCAATGCCGCAGCCCCACTAAAAATCCTCAGTCTCTCTTCATACACCCTTCTCCGCGGCAGCTTCGTACCATTTCAAAGTCACTAACCTTGAATGGACAGATATCTAAGGACCACTTCGGGCACCAATCCAGAAAGAGAAGTGGGGTGACTTCTCCTACCCATTACAGAGCAGACCAGCAGAAGAGAGGGGAGATGGCCGCCCGCAGACCTCCAGAGCCCAGCTGTGACCCACCTGACCCACCTTCCTAGTACCCATGCCCAGCACACAGCCAAAGGAGTTTTCTTTTTGACATTGTGACCCAGATGGGATAGATAATTTGAATCAAGGGACGTTTAATTTCCGTTTTGACAGAAACGTTATTAGGATGATTTCATTTCCACGAAGCTTGCAGGATAGCAGTAATATATGGGAGTGGAAACGTGACCTCAGTGCTGGGACCCAAAAAGAAGTTGGAGGCGGGGCTGTAGCCCAAGGGAGAAGAGCCTCAGATTCATCATCGTCATCGAAGCCGTGGTTAGTTTTTAATTATCCTGTGAAAGGTGCTAATATGAATGGAGCGTCTCATTTTCCCAGAGAAGTCAGAAACCTAGGTACTTCAAGTAAGGTCTCTCAGTTTTTTGACCACTCGTTTTTGGTTTGTATGTTTTTGTTTTTTAATTATTGTTATATTTTATTTTATTTTTCTTTATTAAGAAATTTTCTACTCACTCCTCACGCTATCCACAGACCCCCCCCCCCCACACACACACACACTCGTTTTTAAAATGCTAAGCCTGGGCTGAAGAGATGGGCTAGCAGTTAGAAGCACATGCTGTTCTTGCAGAAGACCCAGGTTGTTTCCCAGCATTGGTTAATAGCTCACAACTGGCAACTCTAGCTTCAGGGTACCCTACCCCTCTTCTGGCCTCCTGGTGCATCAGGCATGTGCGTACACGGAACACATACATACATATAAAATAAAAATAATAAATTCATTTTAAAGTGCGAAGCCTCATCCCTATAATCAGGACTTTAAGTTCCTGAACTTGTGCTTTTTAAGGTTTTGTTTGGCATCTCTCCATCTTTGTGAGACAGACCCAGTACAGATCACTTTTTGCTTTTGGGTGGGGGGTGGGGCAGGAATTGAGACAGGGTTTCTCTGTGTAGCCCTGACTGTCCTGGAACTCACTCTATAGACCAGGCTGGCCTCAAACTCACAGAGATTCACCTGCCTCTCCTTGTGAGGGAACACAGGTCTGCCTCAGATGTGTTCCACGACTAGCTCAAGGTCATACAAGCTACTTGGCTGAGCTGGAACAGAACAGCATTCTAAGTCTCCGTCTTGGAACCCTTCTGCACTCTCAGATACCTCGAAGAATTTGTTCCTTGATTTCTGGGCATTGTGAGCCTAATTAGGCATGGGGCTGGCACTGGGGTGTGGAGGCACAGCACCTTTCCTGAGAAGATGGAGGGCAGTGCCAGACTGCTATCCTAGAAAGCAGCTCAGCCTGATGACTCAGAGGTGGAACTGTGTCTCTAGGGTAGAGCTGAGTCAGAGCAGCCACGGTCTGAACTGGAGCAGCCTAGGTGTCTGAGACCCAGACCAAGGCATCAAGAAAAGGGGAAAAATACACTAAACAAACACACTCACCATGGGCCTCCCCAACCCCCTCCCTGTGCCACGCAGGAGCCACAGGCACAGAAAAGAAGCCTGAGCTAGAATATTAGCTATTTCCTGTCATGGTAGGAAAGCAACTGAGTCAGACTAGCAAATGGACTCTTGCAGGGTCCTGGGAGGAAGAGACCTCTCCATGGCAAGCTAACCGGGCCTCTCAGACAGTGAGCGTTCCTGCTGACAGCTGATTTAGGATGACTGGGCACAGCTCTGCTGCAGCCTGGGCCTTGCTGCAATCAGGACCCAGTGCTGGGGGGGGGGGGGGCGGTGGTGGCGCGCCCTCCCTTCCTGACTCCCTCCGTTCTGGGAAGAGGAGTGCAGGAAGATCAGTGTGTATTCTTGTCTGCCCTGTGCCAGACACTGTGATGGGCATATCATTTTCATTACCTGTCTCACTTGGAATCCTCACCATAGCTACGAGATGGTTGTCATTCTCTTGCTGGAGACAACGAGGCAAAAGCAGGGGGTCGGGTTCAAACTTGGGTCTTGGTGACCAGAATACTGACTTTTCCAAACTGAAGGTCTGGTTTCCAAACACTCAGGTCTTGCTCCAAGAGAGGACTGCACAGCTGTAAGCAGCATGGATCAGCAGACGGCATCCACATACGGTAACTCCTACAGTCACCGGGGTGCTAGCAACAATCACGAAAGAGCTCTCAGAGGGGTGGATTCTGCACATACACACTGTCAATTCTCATTCTTCTCTCTGATTCTGTAAACCCCGCAAATAGACTGAAATAATGAATAATGAATCATTGATCTTAGAGGAAATGCAAAGCCAGGCTCCTGTGAGCCTCTGGTCACATTTTCATCAATCCACCAATATCTGCAATAATCCCCCCTTATCCACGAGAGATGCATTCCAAGACCCTCTTGTGGATGCCTTGGATAGTACAGAATCCTACAGATATTGTGTTTTTTCCTGTTTCTACATGTCTCCAGTCAAGTTTAATGTATATACCAGGCACCAAATGAACATTAATAATAAAATAGAAGAGCCATAACGACAGAATGAATACTGTGTGAATTCAGTTTCTCCCTCTCTCAAAACATCTTAGTGTACTCTACTCACCCTATACAGGATGATGTGAGATAAAGTGGGGTGAGTGGTCTAAGTGTGGTGAAGTTTGTCCTCTCACATAAACACTGAGATACCAGGAGAGCTGATCTGATGACCACATGGCTACTAAGGACTGGGGAAGGGCGACAGTGTGGATATGCTAGACACTGGGACTATTCTCATGCAGAGCAGGACGGCTCCATCAGCACACCGAGTCCTCAGGCAATTCAAAATAGCACTCAATTTAAAACTGATAAATTGTTTATTTCTGGCACTTCCCATTTAATATTTTTGGGCTGTGGCTGATAAAAGCTAGTTGAAGCTTCAGAAAGCAAAGCTAAGGAGGAATACTGTATACTTGTTTTACATGACTTTCTGTCCAAGGACCCCTTTTTCAGTGTTCGTTGTTGACTCGTTAACATTGCACTAGAGGCTGGAAAGCACTAGAACTCACACCCAAGCACAGCTTATCTACTACATGCTTTCTTCATACATATATCGCAGCCTTCCTGGGCTTAGGAGCACTAGACAGTGCTTGACCACTCAAAAGTAGTTTGGGGACTATTTTAAAAAAGCAGCAGCAACAACAACAAAACCCCCGAGGGTTTGAAAATCTTGGGCTTTAGATAAGCCAGGAGCGGAGTACGAGAGACGGAGCAAGTATCAGAGTGCTGCTGACCTGTTTAACTCAGCCGGGAACAAGTATGCCTGAGAACTCAAAATCCCACATCCACAAGCGACTGTGAAAGCCTCTGGGTCAGGAACGAAACCCACGCAAGTAAAATTCAACAAGTAGGCACGCTTGAGAAGAAGTCTGCAGATAAAGAGTGCACACTGTATGTTTCATGTGTGCACACATGCTTTCCAACTTACAAGCAATCATCAAACAAAGTACAATCCACACAGCCAATGAAGTCTCTCAGGAAAACTACTGCTGCTATTTGCCTAGTTCTTGTATCAGAGCTGTCATCCCCAACACACCACCGAAGAAGTAGGAGTCTAGCATGATTGTTGGCTGACATTTTTGTTTATGTTAGGAGATATTATGAAGCTAAAACAGCAAAGATGTGTGCCGGGAACTGGGCTCAATCTTTGGTGGCGTAGATGATTTCTCTGTGAGTCAGAAAACCATCTTCATATACTGAAAGCACATCCCAAATGTGCTGTGCTAGTTGTAATGTAACAGCTCCAACCGTGATGCATCTCCAAGTTTCATCTGTCTGATTAAACTTCCTCCTTTACATCCTTGGATCTGGAACGCTGTTGAAGTTTTATGTCAACATAAAATTTCATTTCCTTAGGATAAATATGCAGGAGCAAGAGCCACGTTGCATGACCCAGCCCTGCTTAACTTTAGAAGAAACTTTCAAACTACTTCCCAGAGCAGCTGTACCGTCTTCCGCCATCACTCCCAAAGCACAAGTGATCGATCACTTTTCTCTTACCCTTGCTGGCCCTTGGATTTGTATTTCCCTAGTGGCTAATGACCTTGAACCTCTCTAGTCATGTGCTCACTTGCCATCAGCATTATCCTTTTGCTTGTCTTGAAACACTGTCTCGTGTATCCCAGGCTGGCCTCAGACTAGCTTTGTAGCTGAAGATAACCTCGAAATTTCTAGTTTTGCCTTGACCTCTTGAGTGCTGGGATTGACAGGCATGTTCCACCAAGCCCAGTTTATGAATGCTGGGAACATTGGGCATGCTCCTGACTGAACCACATCCCCAGACTTATATTTGCCTTTAATATATCTTATTTAATTTTAAGTTTGTGTAATTTCATTTTTAATAATAGTTAGGTGTAACTTTGACTCATAAATTTCCTGAAAATTTAATAATCCATTATTGAGCCAGAAGAGGCTGAATTCAGCACAGCACCA